GTGCTAAAGGTAGCATCCAAACACTATCAATGTCCAGAAATCATCCACCTTCCCAGGAATGGTTCTTTAGGTGTCGTTTCGGTTTGATTTAGCCAAACTTATGACTGGACCCAGGGTGTCACACGCACTAGACAAGCTACTCCATCACAGAGCCACATCCTGGCCCTTCCTCTACTTAGACAGGGTCCCGCTAAGTTGCTTATGCTGGCCTTGAACTCACTCTATACTAAGCTGGCCTAGAATTTGCAAGCCTCCTGAGTAGCTGGGATGACAAGCCTGGACCACCAAGCCAGGCTTATTTTGTTATTAAAATGTTTGTTTGGATTGGTTTTCTTCCCCCCCCCCCCCCCGGGATTTTTTCTTTTTTCTTTCGAGACAAGAGTTTCTCTGTGGCTTTGGAGGCTGTCCTAGAACTAGCTCTTGTAGATGGGGCTGGTCTCAAACTCACAGAGATCTGCCTGCCTCTGCCTCTGCCTCCCCAGTGCTGGGATTAAAGGAGTGAGCCACCAATGCCTGGCTGGATTGGTTTTCAAGACATGGTTTCTCTGTGTAGCCCTGGCTGTCCTGGAACTCACTCTGTAGACCAGGCTGGCCTTGAACTCACAGAGATCTGCCTGCCTCTGGCTCCTGAGTGCTGGGATTAAAGGCTTATCTGAGATTACACGGAAATGGCTTGTTCTCTGGGACTGGCTTCAAGCCTGTCTGGGCAGATGCAGACACTGGCTTGGCGACTGAAATGAAACCAGCCTGGGTGGCAGCTTTGGGACAGCTTTCACATTCAATTACTGTTTCTATAAATGCAGAGTCACGTTGTTTTTTAAACACCTAACAAAATTTCCAAAGCACTAAGAAGAGGCCTGAAGTCCATCTTAGAACCCCAGTGTGGATTCTGACCTCATTGGCAAAGGCCTCGGCTGTGCTGGGTGACACTTGCCTTTAACCCTGGCACTCGGGAGGCACAGGCAGGAGAATCCCAAGTTTAAGTTCAGCATGGGCTGCGTAGGTAGACACTCTCAAAGCACCAGGGATTAAGGGCATGGCTGAGCTATGGAATACCCGTCTAGAATCCACAGTAAGGGGCTGGGCTGTGGCTCAGATGCACAATGCTTGGTCTTAGGTTCAATTTCCAACATTAATGAAGGAAGTGGGAGAGACGGGGACCGACAGACAGACAGACAGAGCCTCCTTGCTATCCCTATAGCAATCAAGTGGAGCCTAGACTTAAGGGGAAGTAGAAGACAGCTGCAATTAGCAGGAGGACCCATCAGCATACAAACCCACAGGGCGTGCCCTTGGTGACTCAAAGGTGTGCCCCCTCCACGGGCTCTCCCAGAAGCATAAGAACATCAGTAGACTCTCAGAGAAGGTCTGCGCTCATGAGGCCCATGGTGACGGCTACAAACTGCCCCATGAGCCTCCCAGGAGTCAGTGAGCATCTCAACAGGGAGCTTTCTGCAAGCCCTGGAGCATCAGATGCATGCCCGCTCAGCTGAGGTCCAGCACAAAAACACTGGCACCCTGGTCCCAGAGAGGTATCAGCTCTGCCAGGTACCTGGGAGAGGTCCCACTGAGCTGGCCTTGAATGATGGACAAATGTTCCAAGGCCCGGCTGCCCCAGTGTGTTTTGTAGTGGTAACTGTACAGTGTGTGTTGGGGAAGACAGACAGTCTTCCTGCCACCCTCCCAGACAGAACACAAACGAACCTCCCTGGGACAAGACGGAACAATGTTCCCGCATCTTTTCCTTCAGAGGCATCCCAGTGTCTTACCTTAAACAAGCAGTCAATGGGTGTTGATGTCATCTGGGACAGTAAGTTCATCCTCTGCCTGAGAAACAGTCTGTCACCAAATCCCTCGGCATCCTGTGGTCATCAAACATCAGAGACCCTGTCACAGACCCTCCCCATCAATGGCCCAGGTGCCAGTCCTGCCATTCTACCCAGGAACAGTCTTCAGAGGCTCTCCCCACCCAGATCTGCTCCCGGAGATGAAGTGTGCAGATCTGTCTCAGCACACAGTGGGAACCCTGGGAAACGAGCTCTGACGGCGCTGGCCTGGGGCGGCGAGACTACACGGTGAAGAAAGTCATCTACAGGAGCGGAATGTGTCATGTACATGCCACCACTGAAGCCTGGCTTGCCCTGGCCTCCGCCCCTCTCAGACTTCCCTCGGGATGCCCGAATGGCCTGATGCTAACCAGGGCTGTGGACAGTACCTCCAGAGACCCCAGCTTCTACTTCCTGGAGCCAAGCAGCAGGGGGAGTCTTGTTAATGTGCTCACAAAAATGTCAGCCTAATTCCCTGGGAGGAAGAGATCTGGGAAGACTTAGGGGAGCTCCTGACAGAGCCCTCACCGGCTATCGCTTACTGCATTTCAAGGATCCACCAAAACCAACATATTCACATCTTCCTATCAAAGGTAATTCTTGCCTGGACAACAGATATCCAGAAATGTGGGGCTCAGGAGATGCCCAGTGCTTAGGAATACTTGCTGCTCTTCCTCCAGAGGACCTGAGTTCAGTTCCCAGTACTCGTATCAGGGGGCTCACAACTGCCTGTAAATCCAGCAGCAGGGAATCTAATGCCCTCTTCTGGCTTCCACAGGCACTTACATGCACACACACACACACACACACACACACACACACACACACACACACACACACACAAATAAAAATAAAATCTAGTCAGGCGGTGGTGGCACAGGCCTTTATTGCCAGCACTTGGGAGGCAGAAGCAGGGGGATGGATCTCTGTGAGTTCGAGGCCAGCCTGGTCTACAAGAGCTAGTTCCAGGACATCTAGGTCTATACAAAGAAACCCTGTCTCGAAAAACAAAATAATAATAATAAAATCTTAAAAAATCTAGAAATTTGTATTTTAGAATTTATTATAGTTATTGGTTACTGTCACTACCTGACTGTTACGATGACTGAAACTGTGTGCACACAGGTAATGTTTTGAGGCAAGACTTTTAATACTATGTTCTGTCTCATTGTGGGCTTGCTTTGTTTTGCAGTGCCAGGGGCCTAAAGGTCTATCACAGAGAAATGACTCTCAACCTCTCACTGCAGAATTTGAAGCAAAGGGCTTGACACAGAATCTCACCCATAACCCTCACTGGGGGATTCTAGGTAGGGGCTCTACCACTGAGCCACACCCCCAGTCTTGTGCCTATTTTACAAAAATCACTCCTATCAAAATGTTTTCATGCTCACTTGGGCCCCTGGAACCAAATGGTACAATGACAAATTAACTCCTTCACAAAGAGTCCTGGTGGGAGTTGAAGGACATTTTTTTCCGGACAGGTGCTGTTGGGAACTCACAGTCTCCTGACAACAAGGTGGAACAAAGTTCTTTCTTCACATATGTCTAAGTTCTGACTGGGCTGTGGATGAAGCCAACAGTACCTTGGGGAAGGATCAGTTCCAGGGTCTCCTCATGTCTGCCCACCTCCAAGGAGGACTAAGTAATGTGACCTCAGAAGGAGCCCTTTCTGTCCCCAGCTGCCTCATGCTATATAAAGCTCCAGCAATCTGCTTTGTACCGTGACTGACAGCTGAGTAGCTTAGGCCAAGAGAAACATCAAAGGCGCTGTACGGCAGGGCAAACAGGGCTGTCTTCTCAAGTCTAGGGTGCCCACTGAAGGGCAGTGCTGAAAGGTGGGACTCCCAGGACTACAAGAGCTCAGTGGAGCAGTACAGCCCAGAGGCTCATGGGAAATGAGCAAGTACTGCTATTAGGAGCTCAGAGCCGGGCACGGTGGTGCTTGCAGTCATCTCAGCAGGAGGACTGGGATCTCAAGGTCATTCTGAGATCTGACCTCCAGAATCAACAGTTCAGGGCGTGGCTCAGAGAGCCTAGTGTGCCTAAGGACCCAAGTTCCACCCTCAACGTCACCTTTCCAAAAACAAACAGCCAACAAGGAAGCAAAGCCGGCCAGGAGCATGGGAGAAAAGAGGCAGGGAAATAAAATAAAACATTTTAAATATATAGGGCTAGGGAGACGGCTCAGTGGTTAAGAGCACTGTTGCTCTTCCAGAGGAGCTGGGTTTGGTTCCCAGCACCCACACCACGGGGCTCCCAATGCCTGTAACTCCAGTTCCAGGGGTCCAGTGTCCTCTTCTGTCTCTTTAGGAATGCACACACTTAGCATACTCACACACAGACAAAGTAGGGAAGGGGTACATTTATTTCAAGGTTCTCTGTCGTATTTGTTTTTGGAAAGCTGAAGTCTCCACTGATGAACATCCTAGGGTTGTCTGTGGCCAGCTCGAATTTCACGACACTCTGGAGAGGAAATTTCTGTGACGTCACGCTACGTGGAGCTGACAGTGAAGCCTATTCAACTGACGGATATGTAGAAGCCTCGCCTGCCATGTGGAGATAACACAGCGTCTCTCTCCCCAGGGAAATGGCATCACTGCGTTACTGTTGGCTTCACACACTCCTACTCAAACTTCATGACCTAGAAGCCAGGCTTCAGGAAAAGCCGAGCCTGTCCTTACAGACAGAGTCCCGTGTGGTGACACAAAGGACAAGAACACCACAGTTCCGGCTGAGTCCACGGGCAAGCAAGGTAAAGACGAAACTCGTACCCTGACTCGTAGGCCTGACTTGCTCTGTATCCAGGGGACTGTGTGCATTGTTTTTTTTTTTTTCTTTTGGATACAGGGTCTTACTATATGTAGGCCAGGGTGAACTCAAACTCATTGTCCTCTTTGCTTATTTTCTTTTTTTTTTTTTTTTTTTTTTTTTTTTTTTTTTTTTTTTTTTTTTTTTTTTTTTTTTGTTTTGTTTG